TCCGCGGGCGGCACGTAGCGCTCGCCCGCGAGCGGCGACCCGCCGGCGAAGGGCGGCGGCGGGCCCGGCGCCGCGGGCTCCCAGGGCGGCGGGAGCGGCGGGGCGGCGGGTCGCGGCGGCGCGCGCGGATCGCGCGGGCGTCGGAGGCGCGCGTCGCCGCCGCGCCGCCGCTTCCGGTCGGAGCCGAGGTCGGGGTACCGGAGCTCGAGCTTCGCCCTGCGGATGTCCTTGGGCGTGCACAGGCCGCTCGTGCCTGCGCCGCGGCGCTCCGCGGACCCCCGCGGAGCCCCTCGGGCGCGCCGGCGCGCGACGGTAGAGGCTCACCCGCAGGTCGCCGCAGCCGCGGACGCTCCCGTGGAAGGCGGCCTCGAGGTCCGCGAGGGACGCCTGCGGGGGGGTCGCGTGCGCGGGCGCCGGGCGCGATCGGCGCGGGCCCCGCGCGGGCCGCGGGCCGCCGCCGCCGCCGCCGCCGGCGCCCGCCGCGCGCGCGGCGGGGTCGTCGACGTAGGCGCGCTTGCCCATGGCCGCCTCGCCGGCGAACCGTTTACTCACGCGCATGGGGGTGCAGTTCAGGAGGCTCGCGAGGAGGGCCCGGAGCATGGCCCCGTCCGGGCAGCCGACGAGCGAGCCCCGCCGGAAGTCGCGGGCGACGGCGTTCGCGTAGGCGATCTCCTCGGCGCCCCACTTGCCCGCGCGGAGCTCGACGGCGCCCCAGGGCCGCCCGGAGAGGCTCGGCCGCGCGGGCGGCGCGGGCGCGTGCTGCCGATCCGGGCGCTGGTGGGCAGCCCGGGCCGGCGGCGGCGGCGGCGGCGGGAAGAAGCGGTCGCGCCGCTCGACGAGGCGGCGCGGCGCCGGTTGCGACGCCGGCGCGGCGGCGTCGGGCGGGAGCGCCGGCGGTTCGCTCATGGCGCGCGAATCCTTGAGCTAAAGGCGTCCATTGCAAAAGGGACTCTCAACTCGAAGTTACGCACGTTGAGAATGCACCCTAGAACCGGCAGAACACACGGACGATAATTAGATCATGAAGCGCACTGCTACCCCACCCAAGCCAAACGTACGCACGCCTTGCCGTTTAAGATTGGTCCTGCCTTTAGATGCCGTTGGACAGGCCGCTCGCGGCCGCGTTCGGGACTTGCTGCCCACGCCGCGACGTCCGACCGGAACCCACGCTATGCGGGGGGACCGCCGGCCACGTCGCGACGAGCATGACACTAGTAGTTAGACTTCCGACGGGGGTCGCGCGCCGCGGCCCGCGGCGATCAGGATCAGGAGATCGTCTCCGGCGGCGGCGGCGGCTCGGCGTCGTCGCCCGAGTTCGTGCGGATCCAGGTGCGGAGCTGGCTGTTCTCGTGCTCGACGGTGCTGAGCCGCTCCCGGAGCCGGTCGCGCTCGTCGACGAGGACCTGCTCCTTGCGGCGGAGCGCGTCGTTCTCCTCCTGGAGGTGCTCGAGCTTCTGGCGCTTGCGCTCGCGGGAGATGCGCGCGTGCTCGCGGTTCCGCTCGCGGCGGATGTCCTTGCGCTGCTTCTCGCTGTCGCCGTCGCCGCCGCCGCCGCCGCCGTCGTCGCTGTCGTCGTCGGCGCGCGCCCGCTTCGGCGCGCCGCGCGCGAGGGCCCCGGGCGGCGGGCGGGGCGGGAGGCCGCCCGACGCCGCGGGCAGGCTCAGGTCCCGCGGCTCCGCGCCGCGCGGCGACGAGAGCGCCGCGACGGCCGCCGCCTGCGTACGAAACGCGCGTTTCGCGTCCCCGGCGACATAAAGAGGACGCGGCGCGCGCGCCGTCGCCGTGAGCTGCTCGTGGCTCGAGATGCGCCGCAGGCTCGGCCCGGACGCGGCCGTCGGCGCGGCCTTGAGCGGCGCCTGCGCGCGTTCGAACGGTCGGGCGGCGCGCGGCGCGGCGCGTCGGGGCGCCGCGGGACGCGCGGTCGTCTGCGTGCCGTAGGCCGGCGACGAGTCGGCCTGCGTCGCCACGGCGGAGAGCGCGCTCAGGTTCGGCGAGTCCACGGACCTGCGCGGCGGCGGCGTCGGCCAAATTCGCGTCCGCGGCGCTTCGGGACGCCGCGCCGCCGCGCCTGCCCCGGGCCTCGCCGCCGCCCGCCGCCGCGGGGCGCTGCCCCTGGAGCGCGCGCGCGTCGCCGCCCGCGCCCTACGGATCGCGCGTTCCTTTCCGCGCCGCCGCGCGCCGCGGCCGCTCTCGGGGCGCGCGCGGGGACGCCGCCGCCGCGCGGGCGCGAGGTCGCCGCCGGCCATGAGCTGCTGGAGGTCCAGGCTGTCGAGCAGCGCCATGGACTTGAGGTAGGGCGACGACGTCATCAGGGCGTCGCCCGGCCGCTGGAGGCCGCCGGGCCCCTCGGGCGCGCCGCCGGGCGGCGGCGCGGCGATGCCGAGGCGCCGCGGGAGCATGCCCTTCGCCACCTGCGGCTGCGCCGGCGCCGCCGGCGGCGGCGCCTGCGCCGGCGGCTGCGGCGGCGGCTGCGACATCAACACCAAGGCCACTGTTCGGGCTACGACGTCGAGGCCCAGTTCGAGCGGGTTGATCGTCTCGATCACAAGATCGCCTTGCCTGCGATTTGCGTCGGCCTCATCATCGACCTCACCAAGCGCGTGCGACGCCATCCTCGCGCGTAGCGTCACAGAGGCTGAGCAACATGCCCATCGTCTCTTCGCGGGTCGGCGTCGACCAGCCCGCGGCTGCTATCGTCCGGAAGACTCCTGGCGAGTTTCGTCGCGCTCTGTCCGCGCCCGGACGTGTCGAGTCGGATTACGTCGGGCCAGCGGCGGCTCGTAGCGCCACGAGGACACGCCGGCGCGTCGCGGACGGCGTTCGATCCTTGGCGTTTGCGCGGAGAGGCCGTCGAAAAGCTAAAACTTTGTTGACGCTTTTAGTTGTTGTGGCAATTCGAGTCGAGAGAGGCTATAGAGGCGCTCTCCGAGGGCGGAACCAGGCACACCGACCGATGTCGCGCGCCACTGCCTTCGCCGACGCGCTGCGCAAGGACAAGGGCGCGCCGGAGAAGTGGAAGGTCACGGTCGCCGTCGCGGCGCCCGACGACTGCGGCACGGTCTGGTACGCGCTCACGACGCGCTACGAGGGCACGCGCACGGCGACGGCGACGCGGCGCTTCTCCGAGTTCCGCGCGCTGCGCCAGGACGTGGCGAAGGTTCTCAAGCTGTCGGCGACGTTCCCCGCGCGGTCCGTGCTGTCGGGCGCGCTGTCGGCGCCCGCGCTCGAGAGGCGCGCGTCGCGACTAAGGGACTGGGTCGCCGAGCTCGCGTCGAAGCGCGACCGGCTCGACGAGGCCCGCGCCAGGGCGCTCCGCATGTTCCTGGGCCTCGAGGCGGGCTGGGAGCGCCGCGACGACGACGCGCCGTCGACGCCGAGCCGCTCGGTCGCGTCCACGCCGAACCGGACGCCCGCGCGGGACGACGACGACGACGACGACGACGACGAGGCCAAGGACGACGCGCCGCCGGCGCCGCCGCTGCCGCTGACGAGCGAGGCGCTCGCGGAGCGCGACGCCCTCCAGGAGCAGGCGCAGGCCCACGCGACGGCTTTGGAGGACAAAGACGCGGCGCACGCGACGGCTTTAGAGGACAAAGACGCGGCCCACGCGACGGCTTTGGAGGACAAAGACGCGGCGCACGCGACGGCTTTGGAGGACAAAGACGCGGCCCACGCGACGGCTTTGGAGGAAAAGGACGCGGCCCACGCGACGGCTTTAGAGGACAAGGACGCGGCGCACGCGACGGCTTTAGAGGACAAGGACGCGGCCCACGCGGCGGCGCTCGAAGCCGAGGACGCGGTCCACGCGACAGCTTTGGAGGCCAAGGACGCGGCGCTCGCGGACGCCGCGGAGGCGTTGCGAGCGGCCGAGGGCGCGCGCGACTCGGCGCGCGGGGACCTCGCGACGGCCCTGAAGCAGCAGCGCGACTGCGCGGCGGCCGCGGCGAAGGCGAGCGCCGCGCAGCAGGACGCGCTCGCGTCCCTCGAGGGGACGCTCCGGGAGCGCGAGGCGGCGCACGCCGCGGCGCTCGCGGACCGCGACGCCGTCTTCGAGGCCGAGGCGGCCGCGGCGAAGCAGGCGGCGGCGCGGGCGGCCTACGCCGTGGGCGACGCCGAGGCCAAGTTCGCCGACGAGCGCGCCGCGAAGGACGCGCTCGCCGCCCAGCTCCGCGCGAAGACCGCGGACCACGAGGCCGCCGTCGCCGAATGCGCGGCCAAGGACGAGGCCCTCGAGGACGCGGAGCGCGACCTCCGCCGCGAGCGCGACCGCGGCGACGCGCTCGCGCGGGCCCAGGAGCAGCTGCTCTTCCGCCTCGGCGACGTGGAGGCGAACGCGGACCGCGACCGCGCCGAGGCGGCGGCGCTCATCGCGCGCCTCGAGGCCAAGGCCGCGGAGCTCGACCGGCTCACCTCGCTGCGGCCGGGCCCGCCCGCGTCGCCGCGGCCCAAGGAGGTGCGGTGCTGCGCGCTCTAATCCCAGGCGAGGCACACGCGGAGCGCGCGCGCGAGCTGCCGCGGGCTCGCGTCCGCGGCGTCGACGACTGTCGGCGGCCGTCCGAGCCAGCGCAGGAGCCGCGGCGCCGGGACGTCCACGGCGCGCTGGTCCGCGCCGAAGTAGTCGAGCGCGCGCCGCAGCGCCGCGACCTTCTCCGCGCGCGGCGCGCGCGCGGCTAGGACGTCGTCCACGGACGCGTCCGACAGCGGCACGCCCAGGTCCATGGACTCGCAGCGGATGGGCGCCGCGTAGATGCGCGCGTCCGTGGCCGGGTCCGGAGCGAAGGACCGGCCGTCCCAGTACTCCTCGCCGTAATCAAAAGTCAGCTCCTCGCCCGCGGCGACGTCGCGGATCGCCGTGAAGCGCACGCGCGGCGGCGACTCCGACACCTCGAAGTCGAGGGCCGGGTCCAGCGCGTCGTGGTTCATGCGCTTGGACCAGTGGTCGCACCGCTCCGCGTCGATGTAGAGCTCGCCGACGCGGAACGCGTACTCGGGCTCGAGCTCCGGGTGGCGCGCCGCGACCTCGTCGGCGTCGATGACCTCGCCGGCGTAGTCGACGACGAAGGTGCCGTTGGCGATGGCCGCCGTGGCGAAGACGCCGAGGCCGCGGTCCGGCGTCGGGCGCACGGCGACGGAGCCCGAGGCGTCCTCGAGCGCGGCGGCGCGCCGGCGCGCAGGCGCGAATGGTCTAGACGGAGACGGACGGCGCGCAGGCGCCGTTGGTTTTGGTGGCGCCAGGAGTGCTGTGGCGCAGGCTGCGAGCAAGACGCACGCCGGCACAAAGCTGCGGGCCATCGCGATCGATGCTCTCCGTCTTCAACTTGCAGTACAATGCCTATGTTTCCGCTGAACGAGAGGTCGATCGTCTGGTGATCTCCGCTGAGGTGGGGCAGCCCTCATGGCCGTCGTCTGCACGAACGTGGTCAGCTTCCGGTGGACGGGCAGCCACGCCGTCTACAAGATCCGCTGCGCGGCGTCGGGCAACTCCTGGGAGGTGGAGCGCCGGCACCGCGACTTCGCGGGCCTGAGCCGCGTGGCCAACGCCCTCGGCGTGGGCACCGTGCCGCCCTTCCCGCGCATCCGCGGCGGCTGGCGCATGGACGACGTCCACCTCCTCGAGCGGCGCCGCGACGCCCTCGACCGCTGGCTGAAGACGGCGGCCGCGACCGCGCCGGCGAGCGCGATCGACGCGTTCCTCGAGCGGCCGCCGGCCGAGGACGCGCCGTCGGCCGTCGTCCAGCGCGTGCTCGCGCTCCAGCGGCCCGAGCCCCGGCCGGCGGCGGCGCCGCCCGAGGCGAGCGGCGCGGCGCTCGCCGCGCTCTGGGTCACCGTGGCCGTCGCGACGGCCACGGCGGGGCCGGCGGCGGGCGTCGCCTGCGCGTGCTCCGCGGTCCTCGGCGCGCGCGCGCTCGGCCGCGGCGGATCCGCCGCGCCGCCGCCGGCGGCGCTGCAAACCCCGCCAGCGCTGCAAACCCCGCCGGCGCGGCCCGAGGCCGTCGCGACGGCCGTCGACGAGGCGCGGGAGGAGGACGCGGAGGCGCGTGCGCCGGCGGTCGTCGCCGCGGGAGCGCCGCGGGCGTAGGTCTCGCGCCTGAAGCGCGCCGCGGGCGGCCGCGTGCCCCTGTCCATGGACGACGCCTACCTGCGGCGCCTCCTCGACCGCGCGGGCCCGCGTCGCGTCCCCGGGAGCGTCTCGGACGGCGCGCCCTCGGTAGGCGGCGACCGCGACGCGACCTGGGCGCGGCGCAAGGTCGCGGGCGCCGCGCGGTACCGCCGCGACGCCGGCGGCGGCAAGCCCGCGCCCATCGCGCCGCGCGTCGCCGCGGCGCTCGCGCGGGCCGGCGTCGACGCCGCGGGCCGCGACGAGCCGCTCGCGACCGAGGAGAGGCTCCGCGCGGCGGGCAAAGCGCTCCGCGGCGGCGGGCTCTACGTCCGCGGCCGCGACGCCGCGGGCCGGCCCATCGTCTGGGCGCGGTCCGGCCTCATCGACCTTCGCAACCTCGGCGCCGCGGGCGAGCGGGCCTGGGTCGACGCCGTCGCCACGCTCTTCGAGCTCTGCGCGCTCGCGGGCGGCGGCGGCTTCACGCGCGGCGCGGCGCCTCGAGTCGAGGGCGATACGACGAGAAGAGCGCCTCTCCCTCCGATGCGACGAGAGAAGACGCGAAACGCCCACAGGTACGTCGAGGCCGCGGACCTGTCGCCGTCGCGCGTGCCGCTGATGACGGGCTGGCGCGTGCTGCGGGGCGGCCTCGACGCGCTGACGACGGCGTTCCCCGAGCGCGGCGCGGAGTTCGTCGTCGCGGGCGCGTCGGGCTTCAACCGCCTGCTCTTCAACATGGCGAAGCCCTTCATGCCCGCGAGCCTCCGAAATCGCATCGTCATGCTCCCGCGCGGCGACCGGGCCGCGGCGAAGCTCGCGGCCGTCCTCGGCGGCGCCGACGCGATCCCCGACTTCCTCGGCGGAAACGCCGCGCACGTCTTCCATCGCACCGACGACGGCGACGTCGACTTCGCTCGCGCGTTCGAGGAGCTGCTGCTGAGTCGGCCGTAAGCGGCGTTTGGTTCTTAAGTGAGGTCAAGTTGAAATTCAAACACTGATCTTTTAGCCTTTGAAGAGAGCGCATGGTCGCGAAGCTCGGGCCGGACCACCGCACGACGAAGATCACGGCCGCCGACCTGCGCTACCTCGTCGACGACGACGCGGAGGTCGCGGGCATCCTGCGGCGGGCGGACACGGGGGGGCGCTGCGTAAGGTGGGCGGGCTAGGGTCCGACCCCCCCGCGACGGGTCTCGAACAAACGACGACGTCCGCGAAGTCCGGGATTTGGCGGGGTGGCGACACACACGACGCCGACGCCGCTCGCGCCGCTCGACGATCCCACCTCCGCCTCGTACCGTCGCCAAGCCGCGACAACAGCGACGTGCACGTGACGTGCACGAATCAGCAATCTCCCCGACGATCATGCAGAAGGCGATGAAACTCGTCGTCGCCCTCGCGCTCTCCGCGCCGGTCGCGGCCGACATCCCCAAGTCCATCTACCTCACGCACGGCCCGAAGGAAGGCGCCGACTGGGCCACGTACGACGCGATCCTCCGCGAGCTCAACGGCGACTTCGAGATCATGGACTTCTCCGACGACGAGGCCGCCGCGTTCATCGAGCGCGAGTACGCCGGCACCGAGCTCGCCGAAGTCTACGCCGCAGCGCCGCGGCCCGTCATGAAAGCAGATCTCTTTCGCCTCGCCGTCGTCGCGAAGAACGGCGGCTTCTACCTCGACAAGGACGTGCTCGCGAGGAAGAACTTCGCCCCCCTCGCGGAGGCGTCGACCGCCGTCTTTCCGCTCGAGTGGTGGAAATCCGACGACGCCTTCGCGGCGCGCCACTTCGCGCGCCCCCGCGACGCCTTCGAGCACTTCCAGGTCGGAAACTACGCCTTCGGCGCCGAGGCCGGCCACGCTCTCGTCGTCGACGCGCTCGACGAGGCCGTGCGCCGCGCCAAGGCCCTCGAAGACAAGGACGAAGTCACCGACTTGGACGTGCTCCGCTCCACGGGGCCCTACATGCTTTCTGAGGTTTACCACGGCGGCCGCTTCGCCGGCGGCATGTACGACGACGCCACGCTCCTCCGCGGCGACGACGAGACGCCCGCGCGTCCCTCCGACGGCCGCACAGAGAACGACTGGCACAAGCTGGGCGCCTACGGCGAGCACATGCTCTCGCACTCCTGGACGTCGCGCCGCCTCACCGACGACTACTACGAAGAGCCCGTCTGCGAGTCGTCGACGTCGTGGCACCTCCCGAAGCGCCCGTCGAAGGACTGCGACTGGATCGGCAAGAAAACGGGCAAGAAGCTCAAGCGCGCGTGCAAGAACACCAAGGACTCGATGGGCGTTAAGGCCAAGGACGCGTGCTTCGTCGAATATACACGTGCGACGAGGACGACGGCCCGTGGAAGTGCGAGGACGACAAGAGCTGGTATCAGAACAACAACAAAGGGAAAGACAAGACCTGCAAGTACATCAAGAAGCGCCTCAAGAAGTGCAAGAAGCTCACGGAGAAGAAATGCAAGAAACTCACGAAGAAGGAGTGCTCGCGCGTCGGCGACGACGGCCGCGAGGCCTACGACGCGTGCCAGCTCACCTGCGGCACCTGCGACGCGGAGGACGCGCCCTTCGAATCGGACGGGCCCGAAGAGTTCACCGGCGGGTCGTGCGCCGACAACACGAGCAAGAAATCGTTCACAAAGGACGCGCTCGGCTGCGAGTGGAAGAAGAAGAACGCCAAGTGCAAGCCCGCGAAAGGAGGCTTCACCGCCGGCGGCGGGTCGACGACACGGTGCAAGGACAACACGAGCAGGAACTCGTGCAAAAAGGATGTGCTCGGCTGCAAGTGGAAGAACGACAAGTGTAAGCCCAAGGGCGCAGACAAGGGCAAGAAGGGCAAGAAGCTCTAAGCCACGCACAAGGCGCAACTAGCTCGCACAAGGCGCGCAGAAGCACCCACGCACAAGGCGCAACTAGCTCGCAGAAGGCGCGCAGAAGCACCCGCCGCCGGCCCGCTCCGCGTACCCGCCGCGCCGGCCCGCTCCGCGGACCCGCCGCCACCCACATGTATGCAATATGACTCCCGGACAAAATGATAATACCCTAGTCATCTGAAGGCGCCCCCTTCTTGCCCTTCCCACCGCGCTTCCGAGCTAGTGTAGGACTTAGTGTGGGGTCCGAGCGGACCCCCGGCGAGGGGTCTCGAAAGTCGTCTCCGCACGAGCTCCGGGAAAAATAAAAAGAGCCTCACCGAGCGTCTCGACCTCGTACCGTCGCCACACCGCGACAACAGCAACGTGCACGTGCACGAATCAGCAATCTCCCCGACGAACATGCAGAAGGCAATGAAACTCGTCGTCGCCCTCGCGCTCTCCGCGCCGGTGGCGGCCGACATCCCCAAGTCCATCTACCTCACGCACGGCCCGAAGGAAGGCGCCGACTGGGCCACGTACGACGCGATCCTCCGCGAGCTCAACGGCGACTTCGAGATCACGGACTTCTCCGACGAGGAGGCCGCCGCGTTCATCGAGCGCGAGTACGCGGGCACCGAGCTCGCCGAAGTCTACGCCGCGGCGCCGCGGCCCGTCATGAGGGCGGACATGTGAGCGCTCCCGCCTTGCCCGCCGCCGCGCCCCCTGGAACACCGGCCCGTAGGTTCCGCCTCGCCGTCGTCGCGAAGAACGGCGGCTTCTACCTTGACAAGGACGTGCTCGCCAGTGTCGCATAGGTGCCTACGTAGGCGCCTACGAGGCTACGTAGCCTCGGCTCGAGCCTCTGGAGCCTACGTAGCCTCGACCGGAACCTACGGACCTATGACCTACGCGCCCACGCAGGTGCTCGCGAAGAAGAACTTCGCCCCCCTCGCGGAGGACTCGACGGCCGTCTTTCCGCTCGAGTGGTGGAAGTCCGACGACGCCTTCGCGGAGCGCCACTTCGCGCGCCCCCGCGACGACTTCGAGCACTTCCAGGTCGGAAACTACGCCTTTGGCGCCGAGGCCGGCCACGCGCTCGTCGTCGATGCGCTCGACGAGGCCGTGCGCCGCGCCAAGGCCCTCGAAGACAAGGACGAAGTCACCGACCTAGACATCCTGCGCTCCACGGGGCCCTACATGCTCTCGGAGGTATACCATCAGGGTCGCCTCGCCGGCGGCATGTACGACGACGCCACGCTCCTCCGCGGCGACGACGAGACGCCCGCGCGTGCTTCGGACGGCCGCACGGCCAACGACTGGCACAAGTTCGGCGACTACGGCGAGCACATGCTCTCGCACTCCTGGACGTCGCGCCGCCTCGAAGACGACTACGGCGACGGCTACGATCTGCCGCCCATCGACGTGCCGCCTGTCGACGACGGGCCCTTCCCGCCCGACGAGCCCATCGAGGAGACGCCCGCGCCGACGGGCGGCTTCGGCGGCTGCGAGTCGTCGACGTCGTGGCACCTCCCGATGCGCCCGTCGAAGGACTGCGACTGGATCGGCAAGAAAGATGGCAAGAAGCTCGAGCGCGCCTGCAAGAACGCCAAGGACTCGACGGGCGTGTCGGCCAAGGACGCGTGCTTCGTCGAATGCAACACGTGCGACGAGGACGACGGCCCGTGGAAGTGCGAGGACGACAAGAACTGGCTTCAGAGCAACGAGAAGTCGCGCGGGGGCAGTGTGGATTCCAACCACTGGTTTGGGGGGTCGAAAGAGTGTGGTCCAATCCGTTCGATTACGCGCGCATTGAAGTCGGGTTGAAGATTTGGAATCCACACAGGCGCGGGGGCAAAGTGAAGCCCAAGGACTGCAAGTACATCAAGAAGCGCCTCAAGAAGGTCTGCGACAAGGACCACAAAAAGTGTAAGAAGCTCACGGAGAAGGAGTGCTCGCGCGTCGGCGACGACGGCCGCGAGGCCTACGACGCGTGCCAGCTCACCTGCGGCACCTGCGACGCGGAGGACGCGCCCTTCGAACCGGACGATCCCCCGTTCGGGTCGTGCGAGGAAAACACGAGCAAGAAGTCGTGCAAAAAGGACCCGCTCGGCTGCAAGTGGAAGCACGACGAGTGCAAGCCCAAGGACGACAAAGACGAGGACTGGCCCGAGGACGGCGACGGGTGGGGCGACAAGCCCCCCTGCAAGAAGAAGAACGGCAAACCCTGCAAGGACGGGCCGGACGAGGACTGGCCGGAGGGCGACAAGCCCCCCTGCGAGAAGAAGAACGGCAAACCCTGCAAGCCGAAGGACGGGCCGGACGAGGACTGGCCGGAGGGCGACAAGCCCCCCTGCAAGAAGAAGAACGGAAAGCCCTGCAAGGAGAAGGGCAAGGGCAAGAAGGGCAAAAAGTTATAAGCCGCGCACAAGGCGCAACTAGCTCGCACAAGGCGCGCAGAAGCACCCCGCCGCCGGCCCGCTCCGCGGACCCGTCGCCGCCCACATGTATGCAATATGACTCCCGGACAAAATGATAATACCCTAGTCATCCGAGGGCGCCCCCTTCTTGCCCTTGCCGCCGCGCTTCCGGGGCGGCGCGTCCTCGAGCTTCTGCGACGTCACGGCCCACTTCGCGTCGACGGCGTCGAGCGCGGCCTCGCGGTCGTCCTTGATGCGGTCGCTCTCGTGCGCGCGGCGCACGGCCATGAGCCAGCGGCCGAGCTTCACGGGCCGGCCGGCGGGGCCGTCGGCCTCGTGGTCCAGCGGCACGTCGACGTGGCCCGTCTCCGCTTTGTAGGCCTTCAAAAGCTCGAGCATCGCCTCGAACGTCGGCCGGCCGCCGGGCTTGCCGCCGGCGCCGGGCTTGCCGCCGGGCTTGCCGCCGGGCTTGCCAGGCCGGCCGTCGGCGCCGGGCTTGCCGGGCCGGCCGCCGGGCTTGCCGCCCTTGGGTCTCCGCGGCTTCGCCGGCGCGGCGTCGTCGGCGACGACGGCCGCGAGGGCCAGCGCCGCGAGCAGGTAGCGCCGCGTCGCGCCTGCGCGGGACGCACGATACGTCGCGCCGCGCGCCGCGCGGGGCATCGATGCGCGCGCGCGCCTCGTCGCAGTGCTCAGCGAATGTAGGTAAGTTCGTTCCATCATCCGCGTGGCACGGAGGGCCCGCAGCGTCCGACGAAACAATAGGAAGCTCTCATCATCGCACGAATCGATCGGCCGCGAAGCGATGGCAGGACGCGGCTGCGCGCCGAGCATGGTCTGCGGCGTCGCGGCGGTCGTCGTCCGCGTGGCTGCCAGCAGTGGGTCGAGTGATCGGCCGCGGTCGGCGAGCCGCGTGCGGGACGCGTCCGGACGAGGCGTCTGACGCGCACGCGTCCCGACGCCTCGTGCACAGATGTTAGCCCTAGAACCACGGCGCCACCGCCGCCTTCGGCTTCTGGCGCGTGAACACCTTCCGCGTCGCCGTGGACCGCGCGCTCGCGGCCGCGTCCGCCGGCGTCGCGGACCGCACGGACGGCGTCTGGTCCCAGGTCGACGGGTCCTCGGCGATGGACATGGACCGGCGCCGCCGGATCGACGGCACCTCGGCGATGGCCTCGGGCGTCTTCGGCGGCGGCGCGGCGGCGGCGGCCTCCGCGTCGGCGTCCGCGGCGGCCCGCTCGCGCGCCGCCGCGGCGGCTTTCGCGGCCGCCGCGGCCTTGGCGCACGCCTCCACGTCCG